CCCACACTACAAAAACAAACACAAAACGCTTTTTCGTAACAAATGAATTTCAATTCCTTTGGGAGAGACAAACTATAAGTTAACCTTATATGTACGTAGGTATGTAGCCAAGTGTAATTATATTCGTAACAAACGTTGACTCAAAATAGATTACACACTGGCTACGTGGGCTATTAGAAGTAATTTACTCTTATTATGGTGTGTCGGAGAGTGTGTTGTGTGTCTTTGCACCGTTTTAGTGTTCGTGTCCGTGTGTGTGGGCCGCTCTTTTGACCACACTTCTAATAAGACAAGGGTAAACAAAAGCAACAACTACAAGCGACAGGGGGACAGGCACCACCCACTACACCAGAGCCATTGCCATCACCATCGCCACCGTCTTCGCCATCGCCTGCGTTTGTGGCTCCAATTGACGTCACGCAGCTGATGCTTCTTGACTTTTGATGTTTGCCTGTGTGCCACACACACAACAAGCTGAGCCGCTGGGCCTTGGGCCAGGAGAGAGGCAACGCCAGGGGACAGAATTGTTAAATCGATTAAAGTCAAAGTTTTGTCAGCGCCATAAAGCGAGTGGAGTGGAGTGAATGTAAGTATGGTGAGTGCGTATGTGGAAGGAGACGACCACAGCAACCACCAGATAATGTTCCTTGGCCATCAGTCAGTCAATCATGGCACCCACATTCACTTCTCACTTGCACTCCATCTTTCCACTCAGACCCAAACCTAAAACACCTCCCAAAAATTGCCCGACTATAAAAGCAAAGTTTTGCAATCAACAAAAAGTTAAAAGTTGCCATCACACTAGAAAAGTTTTTCTAATTAGTGGAAGCCATTTCCACAGCCACGGGCACAGACGGTTGGATGTACACGGATGTACATTGGTATTGGGTCCGCAGGTGTCATCATTGACCGCACAGTCAGGTGGAACGGCGTCATCGAATCAGAACTAGAACTCATATACATAACGTATCATGCCTACATATACATATATCTACTATATATCGTGATAAGCCTAGACTTTAGATATAACCAAGTCAACAGGCAAATGCGTCAGTCTGCTTATCAGCCCCACTGGAGATTTAAGATTGAGACAGACCCTAGACGATAGAAGCGACTCACTGGGTCACTTTTAATAAATATCTCTGTCCTTTTTTATGCTGCTGACACACACAAAATATATACAATATGTATGCACAGATACATACATATGTACATGGCTATGTATATGTACATAAATCCAGCGCGTGGGCTGTGTTTTTTGTTCATTTTCCATCTGAGATGCAGAGAAATGCTGTGCATATTAAAATAAAAAAGACAAAGAAATTTACGAGTTTCGCACAAAGAAAAAGCCCAAAAAAAAATCACAATTTACGACTAATAAACTGAGTACAAATGGAAAAGAAAATGAAAATGGGAGCAGAATTATTCACTTTTGTCTGGCAAGCAACCCAGAGCCTGTCACCACAGCCACAGGCAACAGCCGCAACGTCACAGTGCCACACGGGTCTCAAGAGGTGACATCTCTTGGCATATTGACAGTCGACAGTCGACACACCACTCGACCAGAGACTGCCGCCCCCTAAAGGCAAACACAGAGCTGAATCAAATGGGATAAATAGCATGGCCTGATGGTATTGTAAGTTAATTGGCTTTGGTTCTCAAACATTATTGACTAGCGCCAGTGCAGCCCAGTCCTGTCCTGCTCGACACTTAATCTTTTTTCGATTCTCTGCCAACTAATAATAGTTCGCGCCCTCACGTGCCACTGGAGCTTATCGCGAGAGCCTCCAACTTTATCGTTTATTCAATATATATATGTACACAATATGTATGGAGGGCAGAAATAAAACTCAATCGAGATAAGTTTCCACACACAAAGATGAGAGTCGGCGCGAGAAAGAGAAAAAGAGAGAGACCAAATGGCAGGGCATAGGAAAAACTTTCATCGAGGGCATCAAAGCCAAATGCGGTTGCCCTTCCTAATTAGTTGGAAAGGATCTTAACCAAAAGCAGCAGCAGCAGCAGCAGCAGCAGCAGCAGAGCAGCGGCGCAGCATCAAAACAAACTAAAAGAAAACTTTCCAAGTTTGTTTGTAATCAAATGAGCTGGCAACTGGAGCTGGAAGCGTACTCTCTCCTGTAAACATGGCAAGTAAATCCCATTTGGCACACAAACGAAACAAGATTGGACCCAAAAGTTGACATTTGGCTTAGCATTTGAATTAATTTTAAGTACTAAATCCTATACAGCAGCGTAGATTTCGATGGGGATGCAAAGTTATCAAGAAAACTGAGGCTACCAGATGGTACAAAAAGTTGCCAATTGTATTAACTTGAACTTGATTTACACAGTATACTTGAACGTGTGTAGTTCCATGAGGTATACGTATGTACATCAGTGCGTTTGATAGGATAATTCAGTCATGTCTGCAATTTGCCCAGCAATTATCTGTTAATAATGTGCCTTGTTCTTGCGGCTGTCTGGTATCGATTTTTCCATGCTAATTGCCACAGCAATTTGGGGTTCTCTCAACTGCAGAAAAGTGGAATTATTGAAGAGCAGGAAAGAGCAAATCTGGACCTCCCCACTCGCCATGCAACACATACAATATATGTATATATAGACGATATATAGTATATTTGGGCGGGAGCTGAAGGAGACCATTGTTGGGGGGGGGTGGTTTTTCTTTTTTTTTATGGTTCGCCGAAGGTCGTTGCTTTTATTGGATGTACTCGCACGTACATACATACATACATATTCGTATATAAATTTTCAGCGTTTCTTTTCATTTTTCTTTTCCTCTTGGCCAAACAATTAAATTTTTCACTGTGTGAATATTTCTTTTCATTTCGTTCTCGCTTCAGGGGGAAAATTTGAAATGGGGAGAACAGGCGGAGCAGAGCAGAGCAGAGCAAAAATTATGATTATTTATTAAGGCCGAAATTTGTTGGCCACTTTGTGATGAAGAAAACGCCAAATTATGCGCAGTAACTTTTGGTCGGGGGGGGGAACAGAGAGTGTGACTCACTTTTGCAAATCAAAAATGTGCAAAATACGAATATTTACACATAATTTATCAACATCCGTCAAAAGTTTACTTGACGTCACGCGGCAGGGTATTATCTCCTGTCCCGTGTCTCCTGTCTAATTAGACTTAAAAGTTATGCAGAAGCAGCAGCAGGTAGCTAATTAATAATATTCACTTAAGTTTCATGATTGCATTGGACAGGTAGAAGCGTAGCCCCAAATTCCAGCCAAAATATTGTTGAAATGTGTTTTCTGTTTATTTTCGCGATTGATTCGTAATTCGGTTCTGTTCTATTTTTGGGGCTGATAAATTAATTGCGAATCAGAATGGGCAAAAAATATCTATTCGTTTTCAATTGTTATGGGCCGCAATAAAATAAAGGTAACGTCATAAAGAACCGTTTCATTTGCTTTCTTTCTGTTGATGTTTCCCTTTTTTTTATGATGGGCTTTTCACGTGCTCAACCGAACATTGGCTCACCCTTGTCAGCGGCAGGAAGATAGCTTCTGCTCCTGCGGCATCGAAAGCAACATAAAAGGGATACGAACGAAACGGAGCATGTGGCTCCTGTCAATATGAATGCCTTTAAGCCAACTCGTAGGAAAAGCTGGAACTTTTTCATTAGTTGCGACAGCTTACGAGGAGAGCAGACAGAAGGAAGCCAAACAAACTAAAATTGTGTTTTTATTTTTAGAGCACTTCCCATTGCATACAAATGGGCGGTCGCTGGGCAAATATTATTGATGAATTTTTATTTTAACAGCTTTTCCCATTGAACTACTGTCCATAATGGATTCCCAGCCCCAAGCCCCTAGCACACCCCCTGAAAATGAAAGGAAAATCAATCAATAAACGAAGAATTTAACCTTACAGCCGTCCAACATCGCTGGAAAATGGAGAAGGCCAGAAGCAGTAGCAAAAGTAAGCCGGGCCATAAGCTTAACAGGTCCAGGAAACGTGAGGACATGACAGGAATCTGCTGTCCTATGTAACAATGGAATGGGAGCAGGCTGGCACTCCCGGTCGCAATGTGGAGTGCTGTTGGATCGGGACCATGCGAGGCGGAGAGGTCGAGAGCGAGAGCGAGCAATAGGAATGGAATGACAAGCCTCGCCCCGGGCCATTGAATCGGATACGCATTGAAGTTAGACCTCCCCAGAAGTTACCCATTTCCCCTACCCCCACCCCTGCACTCACGCACTGACTTTGAATTGAATTTGGCTTAGAAATTGTATGTATTTCTGTTGATGGATTGCCATCCCTGGCATGACTGCCGTTGGACAATTGTCCGTCTGTTGTACAAGTTTTTCTGTTCGTGAAAATGCTAAATATATAAAAAATGGAATTAATTACAGTGAAAGTGCAAGGAATAGCCGAGGTCTTGAAGAGACCGTGTTGGAAATTGAACAAAATTGAAATAGAAAATATAGCTGGAACTCTGTTATACACAGCTTAAAATTGTATAAAAAAGTATGAAAGTATTTAACTGTTATACAAGGTAAAGTGACAGTCAATCCATCTGTCATTTGCTTTCTTCATAGAAACGCTATTGTTAAAATCCCCTCTCTTCTTTCAATTTGCTTTTGGAATTGTATTTCCTTGTTCCCCACAGAGCTGCTTTCCCCCACTTCTAACTACACCTTGCCATCTTGCACCTGAAGCACTATACATAAGCAGTCCACACAGTCTCTACAGTGAGCGCTGCTTTATTAAATTTGTGCTTGCTTTTTCATTTATATTTGTTTATCAACCAATGCTAACCCTTGAGCAATTGATAAGCGCGTAAAATATTTAATCGCGCACAGTGGAGAGAGATAGATAGAGAGGTTATGGGAGAGGGAGACAAACAAAGTGGAAAACGGTAACACACAGCAAACAGCAAGACAGAACAGAACCCCTCGTACCCACACCCCTCACCAACCTTCCCACGGAGTCCCACCACTCGAGTACCATGCGACGGGGCGGCACTCACCTGACTTTGTTGCTGGTTTCCCCTACGGAACGGTAACGGATTTTGATGGGCTGCTTGAAACGGCTTCGTTTGGGACTGCCACTTGCTGATGGATGCTCCTGTTGTTGTTGCTCTCTGCTCTTCTACTCTCCTCTGCTACTCGGCTGCTCCACTCTTGTGTCTCTTGTCTCTGGGCTTCCTCTCTTTGCGCTTGTAGCTGATTTTTTTGTGTATGGCTAAAACCAAATTTAATTTGTTACTCTCTCGTTGCGGTTGCCGTTCTTGTTTTTGTTGCTGTTGCAGTTGTTGTTGCTTCTGGATGGGTTGCTGTGGGTGTGGAAATGCTATTGCTGCGGTAATTCTGGCCGGGGATCACTGATTCGAGTTTCGAGAAATTGACTTTGATGTTTCAACAAAAAGCAACAACAACTGAAATTCGTTATTAGATTTGATTGAAAATGTCGTATTTGCTGGGATTTTAACGATTTTTTTCCCATCTACCGGTCTGTGTGTTATCGTGCTTGTATTGTTTTTGTTGTTTGGTGGCTTTTGCGGTTACATACACGTACACACATTCATACGTACAACGATGCTGGGGAGAAAAAAACGTAAAGAGACGAAACTCTGTAAATTTAAGTGCTCCCTTTGAGAGTGCTGTAATTAAGTTGAGTAGAGTGGTGCCCATGGAATGCTAAAGAATGATTTATGTGCAGTTACATACATTTTACCCCATACAATATTGTTCTCTCTCATTTGTTTATTTGAAATGAGTGCTCTGTTTTTTAACTTGTTCTGCCATATAATTGTTTAATTAATTATTTGACCAGTTGAGTGCGAAATAATTTTTCGCTTAAGTAAACATTTCGAGTATACACACGCAGATGTACAAATGTATTTCCCTCTCTGTGCAATTCGTTTTGTTATAGCTATTTTATGTATGGCGTGGTACGTGTGTATGTGCATAGGTGTGTGCTGTTTATTTGCACTTGCCATCTGTGAGTGCGTGTGTGTGTGATTTTGGCCCGACAACTCCTACACAGGCCAACAAAGACTTTGTTTTCGAGTTTCGGTATCAATTGCGGCGGCAATTGCCAATTCCAATAGTTGCCGCCCCTGACCCAATTTCGAAGTTGCAATTCAATACCGATAGCCATCGATAGCGGCAGTTTATAATAATCCAACACACACACACACTCACAAACACTCCTAATATGCACACAAATTTCACAAATCTGAGGTGAGGCATTACCGTTATTTGGTTTGTACGCACTGAGAATATTCTACTTCGCTCTCTGGGAATTCCTAACCGCACACCCACTCATCGCACACAACACACCATACACACACACTCACTACCGTTAATCTTTCAGTTTCAGTTTCAATTCATTCAATTACGCAAACAGCTAATTAATTAATTTACATTCACACACTGTACTGCTGAGTGAGGGTGTGCGTATGTGTGTACCAAATCTGATTAGAGGCCCCAATTCCAATCAGAGATCGTATAGATAAAGTATAGCTGGAGCAATGCAGTGCACGCCAATCCGAAATATGTATTGCCGTCGGCTTGCGCTCAAAACCGGCATTTGAATCATGTGCGCACGGGGCCAAGTCTCCCCCAGATCCCACCCCCTCTCTTCAGACGACCATTCACACTTTAGCTCGTCATCGGACAACAGGCTTGCGGGCTGGGGCCTGGCTAAGCGTGTTTATTGATTGTTCCCCTCACACCGAAACTGAGCCAGGGAAGCCCAACGGGCGGGCCTCCTCCTCGCCTCCCCAACCGAAAAAAAACCATGCCACCAACACCAAGCAACAACAGCAACAGCAACGGGGGAGCAGGCCAAAATGATAGGTAGATTTTTGTATGTATGTATATTATATGTTTCTTAGTTGGGGGTGGGTGGAGTCTGCCGACGACTGCCACTGCCACCTCCACCTACAGCACCAACCACCGCCCACCACCCATTCACTCCTCCTCGTGCATATCGGCCTCGTTTTTTATTACGCGCACGTAGTGTAACTTTTTTTGCCTGCTCTCACATTTTTACATACATTCACTTGCACAACCAGAGAGGGGCAGCGGCAACGGGGGGTAACGGAGCGTGGGCGAGGCTACAGTTAATTTTTCGACACAATTGGGTATTTGGTTGAGGTTTTCAGTAATTACTTTTTAATTTTTAAACGCACGCAGAACGCATAATCCGATGACCGTAGAATCGACGACGCCACAACGGTCCGCGCAAAGTATTATTGGGGGTTTTCTATTTGGAACTTTGGGGCGGCATGGCAGAGTCTGGTTGGGATTAGTGTGACCGCGGACATGCGGATAACATATACCGCACGGTCCTAAAAAATATATCGGAATATACCGTATCATTTTCGACATATACCGAAAATATACAGAATCCTAAATCGTATTCCTTGATTTTGATATTCCATCTAATATTGGCAGCTAGTTGCGACTCTCAGCACTAAAACTATAGTTTAATCCCATTGATGAATCAATTCTAAACAAGTGTAGCTTGCTTTCATAACTTCCTTTTGTTCGATTGTTTAAGCACGGGATGCGCTAAATTTTCTGTCGGCAGGCACTGGGAAGTTGGTGCCCAGTATGACCAAAGTGGGCAAGGTGCACGCTCTACGGGTACACTGTTTTGTGTTTGTTTACAAAATATCTGTTAGAAATTCAAATTTTGTATCATTTATCGCCAGATACCCATTCTACACATACTCATGAACCTTAACAAGCTGCCCGAGAGCGCACGAGCTGGTCCCTGTCCCTTGCTCAAATCAATGCATATAATTTATATTGACATTTATTACCATTCCTTTACCTAGCAACGATCACCCAGCCGCAAGTGCCAACAAAGGAAGATTCGAAGGAGCTCGTAAGATAAGCAAATCTTGTTTATTGTTGTAAAAAGATTGTACTTGTCTCTGCTCTTTCCTATTTACTCGGCACACACACACACAAATCACTTACAAAAAGCTGCCCACAAATCTAATCTGGGTGGATTCAATGCCGCTTATCAGCGCTAATTGAGATGCGGACACACACAGAGCTGGGCGCCACCATCGGTTAGTACGAAAAATGCTGCCAATAGGACGAGTTCTGCGATCGGGTGCCCTGCAGCAGTTACAGTTACGCTGTCAGAGCAGCAAGGCTCTAGGCGATGCTCTGCCCAACAGCTGTGATGTCCTGATCGTTGGCGGCGGCGGCATGGGAGCCTCTTCGGCATTCTGGCTCACTTCCAAGACACGGCAGCAGGGAAAGAAGCTCAATGTGCTGGTGGTGGAGCGCGATCATGCTGTGAGTAGAGAGTCACTGATCTTGACTGCTGACTGTCAACCATTCCCTTCTGCAGTACACGAAGGCATCGACTGTGCTGTCGGTGGGCGGAGTGCGGCAGCAGTTCTCACTGGCGGAAAACATACAAATGGGACTCTATGGCCACGACTTCATAGTAAATAGCCAAATGCATTTGGGCGATGTGGATCTTTGCTTCCAGCCTCACGGCTACCTGGTCATGGCCACCTCCAAGGGAGCCGAAATCCTCACACAGAACTCGAAGCTGCAGAACGAATTGGGTGCCCGCAACAAATTACTCGGCCCGGAGGCCCTGCGCAAGCAATTTCCCTGGCTCTCCACGGACCAAATTGAACTAGGCTGCTATGGCATTGAGAAGGAGGGATGGTTTGATCCCTGGGCCCTGCTGATGGGTTTCAAGAAGCAGGCGCGTTCCTTTGGCGCTCAGTTTGCCAACGGAGAAGTGATTGGCTTCGAGTGGGATGGCGCTGGGGCTTTGTCTGGAGCAGTGGTGGATGCTGGCGATGGCATTCAACGCACCGTGAAGTTCGACACCTGCGTACTGGCGGCAGGAGCTCACTCCGGTCAGCTGGCTAGCCTAGCAAATATTGGCAGCAGCCACGCGAAGGAGGCACTGCTGCGAGTACCTCTACCGGTGGAGCCACGAAAGCGATATGTCTATGTGTTCAGCACGCAGGGCGAGAATTGCCCGGGCTTGGCCACGCCACTGACCATANGAAGGCATCGACTGTGCTGTCGGTGGGCGGAGTGCGGCAGCAGTTCTCACTGGCGGAAAACATACAAATGGGACTCTATGGCCACGACTTCATAGTAAATAGCCAAATGCATTTGGGCGATGTGGATCTTTGCTTCCAGCCTCACGGCTACCTGGTCATGGCCACCTCCAAGGGAGCCGAAATCCTCACACAGAACTCGAAGCTGCAGAACGAATTGGGTGCCCGCAACAAATTACTCGGCCCGGAGGCCCTGCGCAAGCAATTTCCCTGGCTCTCCACGGACCAAATTGAACTAGGCTGCTATGGCATTGAGAAGGAGGGATGGTTTGATCCCTGGGCCCTGCTGATGGGTTTCAAGAAGCAGGCGCGTTCCTTTGGCGCTCAGTTTGCCAACGGAGAAGTGATTGGCTTCGAGTGGGATGGCGCTGGGGCTTTGTCTGGAGCAGTGGTGGATGCTGGCGATGGCATTCAACGCACCGTGAAGTTCGACACCTGCGTACTGGCGGCAGGAGCTCACTCCGGTCAGCTGGCTAGCCTAGCAAATATTGGCAGCAGCCACGCGAAGGAGGCACTGCTGCGAGTACCTCTACCGGTGGAGCCACGAAAGCGATATGTCTATGTGTTCAGCACGCAGGGCGAGAATTGCCCGGGCTTGGCCACGCCACTGACCATAGATCCCGATGGCACGTACTTCCGACGCGATGGCCTGGGCGGTAACTTCCTCTGCGGACGCAGTCCCTGTGACGAGGAGGAGCCCAACTGTGAGACCTTAGATGTGGATCATGGCTACTTTGACACCGATATCTGGCCCACCCTAGCAAACCGTGTGCCTTGCTTTGAGGCCGTCAAAGTGCAGAGCAGCTGGGCCGGCTACTACGAACACAATACGTTCGATGCCAATGGCATCATAGGCAGGCATCCACACTACAGCAACCTCCTCATAGCGGCTGGGTTCAGTGGCCATGGCATTCAACAGACGCCGGCGGTTGGACGAGCCATTTCTGAACAAATTTTGGAGGGCAGGTTCAGCACTCTGGACCTGTCGCGTCTGAGCTTTGATCGTATTGTCAAACAGCAGCCCATGTTTGAGGTTAATATAGTCTGACGACGCGAATATGTAGGAAATTCGCTTCAAATTTGAAATCAATTGTCCAAATCTCGCTTTCTGATGCGAATGCGAGAGAGCACAAATGATCAAGAATAAGATCTTGTTTCTTCCACTCTCAATTACATTTACATCAGCTGCCTGGGGTACGCATATCGCAAAGTCAAGTGAGATGTCATCACTGTCAGTTACAGCCACCGAAAAATATGATATCAAGCAAAATGCAATATATTTCACGATATTTTAATATAAATATGATTCATGCCACATCCCTAATTTCCCGCTTTTGCATTCGGAATATTTACGGTATATTTTGAAAATGAAAAGGTATATCTCAGACGGGTATATTTGATCGATAAATCCACGGTCACACTGTTCGCCACACAAAATTTTGCACACAAGCAGGCGACGAAGTTTTTTTTTAAATAATAACAAAATGCCATGGCGTTAAGCTAAGCCCAACACTTTCACTTGCCCGTCCATCTGGGGAAGAAAGCAATAGTGTGGTTCTTCAGCAGATATTCGTACATCCCTTCGTCCGATATCTATGAGTGTTTGTGTTTGTCCATTGCTTCCCAGTGAATCACTAAAAAAAAAAAGTTAATAGCAACACGCAGCGGAGATAAGAAAGAGTGCGCTTCCAATCGCTCCGCCCCCAACCCAACCACCGTGTAACCGCAGCGCCGCAAAAGAAGCAGCCCCACAAGTTGTCCCCACGCACGAAGACAACAGGGCCACCGAGGAATTGGCAGCCAAAGTATTTGGTTGCATCAATAGAATGGGCAACGACGATCTCCGGCGGAGAAAGACACCTTGCGGATTTTGCATGGCTGTGTTCAAGTGGATTCCGGTTGTATTCATAACCGCCGTCATTGCCTGGTCCTACTATGCCTACGTCGTGGAGCTCTGCATACGTGAGTAGTAGGCTCAATATGATTATTGCCATTGATTCATTAATTGGATTGGTTTCCCTTGCAGGCAATGCCGAGAACCTCGTGGGGATGATTTTCATGCTTTTCTTCTACCACATAGCTTTGATACTGTTTATGTGGTCCTACTGGAGAACCATAATGACATCGGTTGGCCGAGTGCCAGATCAAGTGAGTGTTGGTGGTGTTTGTGTGATTCACACGCTCTTATCGGCGGCAACCTACCGAAAACTGTTTGCGATAGTGCATGGGGGTGGGCACTCCAGGCTGGGTTTACCCCTTGCGAGAGTGTCGTACCGAAATTAATGTTTCTTATTGTTTCTAGTGGCGGATACCAGACGAGGAAGTGACTCGCCTATTCCGTGCGGATAACCCAGAGACACAGAAGCGCATTTTGAATAGCTTTGCCCGCAGCTTGCCAGTTACCAATCGGTGAGGAGTGGAAGTCTTCGAACTATCTTTGCAAACTAACAAACGATATCCATCTGTATTTTGTAGCACAATGAACGGCTCTGTCCGGTTTTGTGAAAAGTGTAAGATCATCAAGCCGGACAGGGCGCATCACTGCAGTGTGTGCAACAGCTGCGTGCTGAAGATGGATCATCACTGCCCTTGGGTGAACAATTGCGTCAACTTCTACAATTACAAGTTCTTTGTATTGTTTCTGGGCTACGCTCTCGTCTATTGCCTGTATGTTGCATTCACTACACTGCACGATTTCGTTCAGTTCTGGAAGGTAGGTGCCGTAAGTTTCGATCTTTTAGACTCTTTGTCGTATTATCCCTGCATGCATGCTTGCCATGCATCCTGCATGAAGAGCCCGTAGTTAATGAATGTATTTTTCCGTTTTACTGTATTGTCTGTACATATTGTACCTACCTTGTACTTACTGATAAAACAAGTACGAAAATAATGGTTACTCGGAACAGGGCCAGCTGAACGGCAGTGGCGTGGGCCGTTTCCACATCTTGTTCCTGTTCTTCATATCCATCATGTTTGCCATTAGCTTGGTGAGCCTGTTTGGCTATCACATCTACCTGGTTCTGGTTAATCGCACCACCTTGGGTGAGTATTACATCACGCGTTAAAATACTATATAATTGAGAATCCATTCATCTACACAGAATCTTTTCGAGCACCAGTATTCCGAGTCGGCGGTCCAGACAAGAACGGCTTCAATTTGGGCCGCTATGCCAACTTTTGTGAGGTGTTTGGGGACGACTGGCAGTACTGGCCTTTGCCCATCTTTACCAGGTATGTGGGCATCGCCGGTTTATTTACTAAGCACATCTAAGACCAGTCTCTGGCATTCTCACACTCTCATTTGCATTTTTAATATTACTAATACAAATACTGTGCTGCACCCGAAAAAGCAAAGCTTCTACTCTCTCTCTCTCTCGCTCTTTATTAGTTGTTGTTTTTGTGCGCTTTTGTTTTATTTGATTTATCTGATTTGGCAAATTAAAGGCATGCCCCACATCCAAGTCCCAAGTAGTTTACCCACCATTTGATACCCACGCCCCTATCCCACAATTGTGAATCTAAAACGTGTGTTCCATGTTCAATGTTCAAAAGCAACCAACCGGCAACAAACAAAACAAAAAACTTGTCTAACAAGAAATTTACACAAAATGTAGACTAAATAAAACGTTGTATGTCTCTTTTATATCTATAAATATTGAGAATAGAAAGCAACAATCGAATGTTGTCCAATCTCTTTTTGTAATTTAGTTGTAAGCAACATCCAAAATTATCATTTCGTTTATTCCCCGCCCCGTTGCTCTCTGGTTTGTGTTTGTGTAAATAACGAGATGTCCAGTGGCCAGTGGTCAGTGCTATAAATAGAGTTTAGTCCATTACTAAAAAATAATACAATTTAGATGCGAGTTCTCTTCTGAATAAGTAACTAATTTAAAATTTTCGCGCCTATTGCTCTTAACGCCTGATTGAAATTCCATTTACTGCTTGCGGGATTAGGCTTTGCAAGCAGTGCTCTAACACACTAGTTGTCTCTGTCTATCTAATTGTAAAACCCCGTTTGGTTGGTGGAATTTCAAGCAGTTGTCATGCATACAATTACCAAATGCTGAGCGCTCACAAAAGCTTACTAAAATAAAATCAGCCACATGCCTCACAAAAAATCAAATGAATTCTTCTCAACACACACACACACACACATCTGTGCAGATTTATAACAATATAATAAAACAACATCAGCAAACAATTACAACAACAACAACAAGTACAAGAGCTAAACTGTAAAAAACAAACGCTAAAATCAAAACAAAAACACATTTCTGTTTGCAACTTTCGTTTAACAAATTACCAAAACCTTTTGCTTATCCACAATTTATGGAAAACGACTTGTTCGAATCAGTCGCGGTGATGGCTTCAGCTATCCAACATCCACCGATCAAAGCGGCGAGGCGCCCACCGTCCAGCGATATGCTGCCATGGGCGACACGACAACCAGCAGGTTAGATGGCAATCCAACAGATAAGTTGATTGACGCTATTCCCCTCGACACCACAACCAATAACCATGATCAACCACCACCTCAACACCAACATCCACATCAAGTAAGAAGCCAGAACCTGGCGCAGCCGCAGTCGCAGCCGCAACAGGCGCGCCACCAGGCCCGTCCAAACTCGCTAAATCTGCAACCCGCACTGGAACTGCCATTGGCAAACGGCCAATCATCAAACTGCAGCACGGCACAAGTCCCGTCTAGTCCGATGGTCGTTGTCAATCTTGGCACCCTGCCAGAGGATGCCAAAGGCTCTGCGGTCATCATCGATATGGTGGGCGATCATAGTGGAGCTGCTGCTGGTGTTGCCGCACCCAAGGATGCCTGAACTAGATCCTGTAACTGTCGCTACGTAAAGCCCTTTTAGATACGTATCCCCATGTATGTTTGTTGTATATCTGTGTAAACTGCCAGAACTGTTGCACTTGTGGACCGTCATCGTTGCAGTTTGTTTTTTATTGAAATGTATGTAAATTACCACTAAGTTACCTCTCTCTTTACATATGTATGTGGGTAGACTCCATACTGGGGGACCATGCCGCCACACACAAGAAAACAAGTAAACGCCCCATAAACAAATAGACATCTAAGTAAACTTCTAAGCAATATGTACATATATTTACTATGTGTGAGAGCTCCACTTGTCGATGTTTTTAATGGAAATGTAATGGATGGCAATATAAAGTGTTAGTGTAGGGATGAGCGCGAGACCTGAAAGTAGGGCAAATGTTAAGGTAGTTCCTAGATAGGGCACCCAACCTCAACATTCACCTAATCGTGCCCATCTCTGGGTTGATCCCGATTAGAGTTAGTATTCCCCATTCATGTCACCCATGTAGATAGCCAGCCCATCTCCGTGACTTAACCAATGAGATTTCAGCAACTGAATCGAAACATGCACAACCCATAAAGAGAATTTTTATATACATATCTTCGATTAAGGCATTTCTTATTGCTTTTAATTAATGTAGTTCTAGTTGGTAACTCACTTATCGCAAGTTGATTTGGGTAGATTCTTTTTTTATACTTTTGATACGATGTTTTAGTTTATTATGCCATAATTTTTTACCTTTATATATGCGCTTTTATTGCATTTCTGTAAGAGGGATGAAACAAACTTGAGAGGTATGGAAAATATATTTTAAAGATCAACGAAGAATTGTTTTTAATTTGCCAAAAAAACAAAAAAGAAAATCTTCCTATTTCTCTCTCTATGATGGCTTTGCTTCTGTTGCACGGCACCAAGTCAATCCATCAATCAATCAAATACAACGCACACACACACACACACACACTACTACTAATCATGCTCGAATATATCCCCGACCCAACACATACATATTCATCACCCTTACAAAATTAAATGAATAAATTGTACCGAAAGCCTGCTCAAATATAATGCCAACATCTCTTAGCTTTGGCGATGGCATTAGCTATCCCATACGACACCTTGAGGACGACTCCGAGACCCTGTTGGGCTACCACAGCGACACACGCATCGAGATGGACGAGGACTTCCTGCCGGAGTCGCGTTTCCTGCACTCGATTCCATAGCCAATCATGACAAGCGACAATGTGGCCACGTATTATATTTAGTGATTTTGTTTTACGGATTTCCTTTTGTTGTGTAAATACGAGCAGTAATGGACAGAGGATTAACTAGGTCATAATCTTTAAGTTATCAAAGTGTGCATGATGATGAGGATGTTGGGTATGAGATGATGATGATTATGATGCCGATATGTATGGATGAATGTAACAATGTTAATGTTGGTAGGGTGGGAATAAGCACTAGCACTTGCTTGGACATTCGCGATGGAAATTTTTAGCTGTATTCAATTAGTGTTTAAGTAGACAGTTACTAGAACATATAACCTTTCGATCAAAAAGTATGTAGAGATGTCTGTCGGCATACAGCTCTAGTTATGCAACACAAAAACAAAGCACTGCAATATCCTGAACAGTATATAAATACACACGAGGCACGAGTACATGAAACACATACATATATATAAATGTATATCTAGAGAACATAATATGGTTAACAATTTAGTGGAAAAAAAACAATACAAATCAAATGAAACTTTAAGCTTTGAAGTCGATTCGAGTACGTGTGCATATGTTTCGGAGAGTAATAGCAATACGGTTCAATATATTTACAAAATATAAAATTTCCAAAATTAAACTCAATCAAAACGACTTAATTCATCGTCACTGTCGCTGGCGTTTGTTTTCCTGTTGCCAACTGTTGTGGGAACCACTTCAAAGTCATCCTCCATGGCGGTTTTTGTCGCTGACGGATCGCCAAACGGATTCGCTGACAGCCTTGCTGGCGCGGGAACAACTGGCTTTGGGATAGGAACAATTTTCCTTGGAGATGGAGTCGCTTCCTTTGGCGCAGGTTCCTCAGTCACCTCAGTTTCCTCTGGCGCTTCCTCTACGAGCTTGCGTTTCTTCTGCTTCTTGCTAATCAATACATCGCGTCCCATAAAAGTGCCTGTGTCCTCGCTGCGCGGCAGCAAGTCACTCAGATCGGTCTCCACATCGGCAAGTTCCGGTTGCAGCTTTTCCTGCAGGGCCGCCAGTGCAATCAGTAGCGCCTCCTCAGTGCGTATGGTGCGTGAGCCTTGACGGGGCAGTACATTCACATAATGGTCGAACAGCATTTCGGGATCATCCACAGTCAACTTATCGTCGTTGGCCAGCGCCTCTTCGAGACCTTGGAGACCGCCAAAGACGATGAGCAAGTGTTTGTATTGAACAGAACGGTTGGGTACCTCGTGGACGTTGGTGCCGCGATCAGAGGTACCAAGCGTTACATCGTAGCTGCTCTCGTATGGCGACTTGGTGAATATGTCCGACAAGGAATGGGCGATGCGCACCTGGTAGCCCCAGTAGACGCCTGTCTCCCGCCGCGGCTCATCCGGACTGACCAGAGTTCCACGCTGCTTTCTGCTTGTGTCTGTAAGGGGAGGGAGACCAACATTTTAGTGTCTTTTACCTAGTGATAACTGCAACTGAAACATACCGCTTGCTGGATCCATTTTGACAGTTACACGCACTCCTGGCTCAAGGGCCTTGTCGACGAGGACGTCGTTAAGGAGCCCCACGTTGGCGTAGCTCTGTCCGTCTTTGGCCTTCTTGTCGCTAATGACACCCTCGCGGTAGCGAAACTTGCTTTGCTGCCTCAGGTGATGTGGGGTGTCCAGAGGATTCAACAGGCCAGAGTACTTCAGGTCCTTGTGCAGAGGAAAGAAGTATTTTCGCAAGTACTGAGGACACTCTAGGTACTGCAGGATGCGGGCCAATTGCAGCGAGCTGCTGCGCACCGTGCCAGTCGCATTGCCCTCCGAGTCCTGCTCGTAGCTGCGCTTGGTCTCGCGTGCTGTCGCCAAGCCTACATCGTCAAAGACTATCACCTCGTTGACGCGAAATATGCAAGCGGCCCGAGCAATCTGGCCGGCAACATAGGCCCTCAGCTCTGCGGACTGGGCGTTCTCTAGAATGGAGCCCGGCACTGCTATGCTCAGAGTGGATGGATTGGGCCTGTTCTTCATTGTTTGTGCTGCACTTGCGGCAGCATCTGCCTTGGCTTCAGACTCCTTGGTCTGGTTCATCTGTTTGAGGAGCTTCTCCTGTTTCCTCTGTCGTTTCAGGGCCTTACGCTCTTCGTTTACTTTCTTCCACGACTTATGGGGTTCCGTGGGCTTGCCATTGCTCACGACTGTTGGGGCGGCTGGCATGACTTTAGTTTAGGTTTCTTTAAACAGCAGTAAAATTGTTAAAAACAAACCGTGCACGTGCAAAGTTACACCAGTGTTACCAGATACCAGAATGCGCTAATGCGCAGAATACACTTTCGGTCTTTTATATTGATCAAACGCATCGCTTGGTGGTTTATATTGTCAATTGTAAATGTTTAAGTGATTAACTGGTTTAAAAAATTTTTCAAATTTTTACTTGCCAGGAATTTTGTGGTTTTCATACTTTCCCCCACAATCGCGTCTAAAAAAACATCGACACAGTTCCCAAACCATCGATACTATATATTTTATCTTCGATGGTGTTGCAGCCCTGCCGCTTGTTGCTTTTCATCTCTCGTATTCTGGTTTCCCCTGCAATTTAGGGGACGTTTTGCCATTGGTACATTTTTCCAACAAGATGAGCCGCGAAGTACTCGATTATCCTATCAAACGCATGAGCCCGAACCGCCGCTATCGTGTGAACGTTGTACACGAAGATTTTGGCGGCGACAAGTGGAATGGCGGCAACAAACAAGGCCGCCCAGCAAACAAGGGCTATGAGGAGCCCGGTATGTGGCAATAGTAGAGTATTTGACTGCAGTACAATTCTCGTTCATAGATCTTTACGGCGAAGAAGACGACGAGGAAGACCCAGCCGTCGCCCAGATTGTAGAGAATGGTGCTGACGGCTATAAACTTTCATTCCATGTGTCAAAGTGAGTGTAACAGGCCCGCGCACATGTGCAATATCCATTCGAGCCACTCCTCTTGCAGATCATTCTATGGCGGACTGATTGGCCTCAAGGGTCAAACCAAACGTCGCATCGAGAAAGAAACACAATCGGAAATGTACATTCCACGGCAGCACGAGGAGTCGTCAAATGTGACGATCGTGGCCAGGGATCGCAGCCAGGTGTGTGCCGCCTTGCGCCAGATACGCAGCTTCGTTGGCTCCCTGCGCAGGAAGATGCGTCCAACCCATTTTCTGGCTGTTCCATTGAACTTTGGCGAAGTGCAGAATGGCTTTCTGGAGCTTAAGGTAACCAGGACGCTGGCACACCAGATCAGCCACTTATTGTGTATTCCCTTTGCAGAAAAGTATTTTGGAGGCCCAGTTTCCGGGTATCGGCGAGGAACTCTTCATTTCCGAGATCTGTATCCACATTACATTGGGCGTGTATGTGCTGCTGGATGAAAACGAGCGCAAGAAGGCGCTGGAGGAGCTCGAGTTCTGTCGCTCTATCCTGTCTGATCTCACAACTCCATTCGAGATTAAAGTCAAGGGTCTGGAGATCATGAACGATGATCCAAGCTCCTCGCGCATTTTGTACGGCTGTGTTGAGGCTCCTGAGCTGCAGAAGTTCGCCGACCGATGCCTCGCCCATTTCCAAACCACTGGATTTGCCGCCACGGATAACAACAAACGCGATTCCATCAAGCTGCACATGACCGTGCTAAACAATCGCTATAGCAAGAAGGCCAACAGTGCAGCCAAGACTCCGAACAGCTTCGATGTCCGCGAGCTACTGAAACAATTTGGGGACTTTGACTTTGGAACTGCCCAATGCAGCGCCGTTCACTTGTGCGCTCTAAATTCGAGTGGAGCTGACAGTTTCTACAAGATTAGTGGCAGTCTTAAATTCTAAAAAGTTTATCTGTCAAGCCTAATCAACTTCATATTCATTTATATTCAATAAATATAAGAACAGAAAAACGTACACATATATAATTTATTTATTGAATATTTGTTTTCAATTTTTTGTCAAATTAGCATTGTATATTTGCTTATGGACTGCATTTGTTTTACTCCGTGTATAGTGTTTTGGGCTCTGAAAGTCTGTGCATTTCAGGGCTTTCGCTTGGCATTAACAAATTTGGTGCCAAACGAAAGAATTGTGCACTGCAATTTATTCTATTGAAAGTTGGTTTTTCTGTTGCTGTTTCGCTTTCTTTTCATTTGTTTTATAATAAATATAAAAATATATATATATTTACTCGTTTATGTGTGAGGATTTGAATTAACAAAAATATGTAATGGGTAAAACAAGATAATAGGTTATATAGGGGTGTGTTGTGTCCTTAAAAGCTACAGAGTAGGAAGTCATAGACAAGTGGAGGAAATGGGCCTAACTCTAAAGAGGACCAGGTGGCATGAAAGGAGAGCTATACGAGTATTTAGATAGATAGATATAGCGAAAGATACCCCCTTCAACACACACAAATTCGCACACTTGTAAAAAATTAATCAAATTGAGTGTAAAAAAACGACATTTTGTCTTAATTACTAACATTAACTACGTACAATTTGTGTTTGTTCTGGTTTTGTCGCCTTGGCTTAGTACTTTTTGTTTTTTTGTCAATATATCTTCAGTCTAAAGTTAAGTTTTGGTTGACTTTCTCTTGTGTGTATGTTGCAGCTGTAAGAGGATTTCATTGGTTCTTCGGGCGGGATTTTCACTACAGTAATAATGATTTTAGAAAATTGTTTTAGTGGCTGGTACATAGACTATATGGAAAACACGCAAACATATATGCTTTAGTAGTAGATATTTCCGATTTCTGCACAGTACAGAAATTTCTATATGGAAGATTTCTTATTTAAACGACCGAGTTGCACAGTGCGTCCCAAAAGCAGCATCAGACAGTTTGATAGAGCCTGATAGTGTATAGCTAAACGCTTCTAGTCAAATTCAGTCAGTTGTCGAATATCCTATGAAATTGAAGCTAGGCTCTCAAAGAGATTTAATTACAAAGACGATTTTGGGGTATATGCGATATGTGTACAACTGTGTGCACGCTTTGAAACGCACTGTAGGCCGCTCCGTAACATGCAGATAGTTTTAACAACAATTAGACTTTTGTCACACACTTAGATACATAAATATTCTCAACATATGCAGTAGGATTTCTTTTGTTTCTTGCCAGATTCGCATGCATGTATATAGCGTTTACTTATTTATTAAAAAAGTTACTTTACTTCAAACAATTCTTATTAATTTTAATTCAATCAAAGATCTAGAATGAAAACCACAGAAACCATAAAAATGTAATCTGTTCGTGGCTTATCTGTTTCTGTGTTTACATTTCAGTGTATTTTGTGTGTGTGTGTTGTGTGCGAAGTGTTTGAAAAAAATCAATCAGGTCTATCCATGGTCCTACTTCATTCGCATTCCCTGCCGTGGCACTCATCTCGTACGTCCTCGTCCTTGTCATCATTGTTATTGGTGTTGTTGATCTCTTTCTCTAGAATTGCTCGCGCTCGCTGATACTATTTTGCATGACCATTACTGAGCACCGCTGGGAGCACGTTGGCCTGCTGTACCACCGCATTGATCACTTCAATCTCCTTCTTGAGGAAGGCGGCGCTGTTCTCCTCAGCTGCATGATCGGCGCTACCTCCACCAGGTGCTTCGGCGCGTTGTCCGTTCTCATGAACAGAGGATGTGTTGCGCTTGCGGAGTCCCACAGAAGCTACAGCCGCATCCAGTGGCGCTGTGATGGTACTGCCACTCGGCAATTTCAATTTGGGAAACTCGATGTCACGCATTAGATCGTTCTTGAACTCTACAATGCCGCTGACGGTGTCGGTTACAGTCTTATCAATAAATTCTTCAATGTTTTTGGTCTCCGCCTCGAACTTCTCCTTCAATTTGGTGGACAACTGATCCATTTCGCACTGGTCGTGTGGCACGCTAATGGCGTCGCGGGCGTTGGTCGGTGGCGGCTTTGGACTCTTCGGTTGCGGCTGCTGCTGCGGCTGCTTCTGTTGCTGCTGTGGATGATTCAAGGGCTGTGGGCGTGGTTGGAGTATTACATTGTGCTGTTGCTCTTTCTGCTGTTGTTGCTGTTGCTCTATGAAAAGCTGCTGTGGTGTGTTGTCTTTACATTTAGCCTGCTTATCCTCGTCCTCATCCTCGTTGAGATCATTGCTGCCTGCCAGTGCCGCAGTGGCCGCCAGGGGCACCCGGGTCGGTGAGGAGTCCCTGACTCTGGCGCTGGTCGCCAGATATTCGCCACTCTTGGACGAGCGTGCGCTCCTTTCGCCGCGTATAAATTGGGGTAAAATAAATATGGTCACTATTGAAATAAAGTGAAGGCACAAATAAAATCTCAGGTACAATTTGATGCTGCCCTGTAAATACAAATCGAAAGAGAACATTTGGTTTAAGGATCATCTCCGTATCTGCTAGAGTCGAGAATACTCACCATAAATTCAAGCAGAACGAATGGGAATGTGGCATAGCCCATCACAATGCGTGTGATTAGACAGGTGAGAATGTCGTAGAACATTCGTGTGAGCTGTGTGCTCTGGAAGCGATGACGGAAGAGTCTGCGTCCCATACGGGCGGCGGTAACCGTCACGGCTCCGGTGGCAAAGGTCAGATAGTAGCCCGGATAGAAGCCATGCCATACGGCACTCAATGCAAAGGTGAGCAGTGTGCCATACCGCTTTGGCACACGCTCATAGACGAGGGTGCGAAGCCAGCGATTTGTGCCGCAATTCCAATTGTTGATGGCATCGCGCATGTTCGTCGAAAACTGACAATGGGGATAAAGATTATATACAGGATAAAGATCGAAAACAGTAAAGATTTGCCTACCTCAAACGACAAGACATTGATGTTGGATATTAGATCCCATTTGGCATTGCCGTCCTTGTCGTAGCCGGCAAAGCCGAGGCCAGCGTTATTGCATATCGCATCGGCCAGCAGCCATGCGTGATAATACTTGAAGCGTATGCAGGTGGTTGCCATCATGGCATACCAGTATTTATAGGCCATGCTGGTGTTCTCCAAGAAGTCGTCGTCCTTCATATTCTTCACTGGATATAGTTTCACGAACTTCATGAATATGAAGGCGCACACGAGACTGCCAATCACTTTGCGTATCACGGTTTTCGTTGGCGATGGCTCCAGGACCAGCTCCGTTTTGCCATTGTCCAGTGAGCCCTGCAATGGACAAAGGAAATGAATCACTAATGACTCTGCCAGGCAAAAGGATGAGCAGGATTCCCCACACAGATGGAAGGGGCAGTAGGCAGTGGGTAGGAAAGCCAATTTATGGCAACTAATGAAATCACTGCAGCTTCCATTAGTGGCGACTGCTGCAGACGCTGTGACCTGACCAGATAATGCACTTACGTTGCTGGCTGGACGCTTCAGCAGATTGTAGCCCTCTACGAACTCAATGTAGTCCTTGTAAAATACCAGTGGACCGGCCAGGATGCTTTGGAAATGCCACACATACGAGAAGTACTCCAATGCCGATGGCATTTTGCGAATGGCGTGATACTGCTGTGCCTTTGTCAGGTCCTATTAGGAGGAGACAAAATTGGTTTAAGTTGTTTAAAATTTCTGGCAAAGTTGATTTACTCACCTCCTCCTCCCGCACGAAACCGTCGTGTATGCTGAAGGCCAGGCTGGTAACCTTTTGTGTGATGATCATTAGTGGCCCGGTAATGTCCAGAGCATAGGATCCATAGTCGTAGAGTTGTCGCATCAGGTGCACGCACAGCAAATAGCTCATGGCCACCAGCAAGACCGCTCTGCAATCTCAGTAAATTAGCGAGAGTTCAAATCAATCAGCGATTCTATGCCTATTCGTTACCTCTGCACAATGCGCGGATCTTGGGTGCGTATGACTATGTAACAGATTGCCGGTAGACCGGCAATGTGTATGGCCTGCTGGCCAAAGCAAAAATAGCCAAAGGCCAGCCCCATCGACAGCGCGAATGTGTGGCGCAGCTTGCTGGACACCTTGGACGGATGCAGCAGCGAGCGGAAGAGCGAGGCCAGGAAGAGGGCTGATATTTGGCATATTAAAAAGTTTACCTGCAATGCAAAAGAGAAATGTTTTGTTATAAGTTGAGTGAATTAAAGTTTAGGCGTACAGGTTACCCTTGGGAGAACGCCTTTTCTGGCGGGAGTCTCCCACTTAAATTCAATAGAGAATACGTCAATTTACACGTATGTATGTACCTAGGGAAATTAAACCAAGTGAGATAATCGTAACCAGTTATCTGTTTTGGAGGTGCCCCCGTGCAATACGATACCCCAACCAGACCACATGCGGTGTGCACGTGCCTTTTCTGATATGCAATTGGCATCAGAGAACAGCAACGAATGCAACATTTGTCGTCCAATGCTCTTGATCATGATTAAGAATCCACACAATCACGAACACGCTTTGTGATCAATGTTCGATTGATGCATTGGTGATCCCTCTTGGCCTTGGCATGAGTGGGTTGGCTTTCATTTCAATGTTAATTCTACATGAATTTCGTTCCCGGCGATGCCCTTTGCCAGCTGCCAGCTGACATTGAGAAACGAGAGCACCGCAGGCAGCAGCGACCATTCAAATAGATATTTATTTATGATCTTTTTTTTTTGCCTCTCACGCTCGTGCCCGCCAATGCATAAACAATAATTGGGGTGGGGTGAGGTGACAGGCCCTGCTGAATTGGGTTCCGTAACAGGGTCGCTGGAAGCACATGACATAAAGGCTATAATTGATATCAATTGCTTGCCACTCGCTCAACTTGATTTTGAGCGCGTTTGAAACGCATTTTGCTTTGTTCCTGATAAGGTCCGATAAGGAGAGGTCCACCAGCCTCAGAACAACAGAGAACGAACCTCAGGACCCCTGGCGATTCATTGACAATTCACAAGCCCGAAGGCCAAGCGGATGCCGCGATTACCACTGTGCCTTATCAGGAGGGACAATGTTGTGCCTACACAACTCTGAATTATATTAATAGTTGTACGTAAACATATGAAATATATACACTTTGACTGTAATCAGCTCCTACATTTGCCGCAAGTTTTAATTACAGATTTTAAGTTAAGGGTCATCAAATCTTGGAGTCAATGACTTCAAACTGTAATACATTTGTAATACAAATGCTGGTCAAATGTTTGATTAGATTGCTATTTATTGAGTGGATTACTGTTGGTTAGGATACACGTTGATATACATGTTGCAAGTATCATATCCGCTGATCCTTTCGTCTTCAGTTGCGCTTGGCGGGACAATTCAGCACCAGGCTGCGACGGCGGCACTTTCCTTCCTCCAGGTCGAACCACTGTCCGGCTCTGCACTTGTGCAGCACTCGGTGTCCGCTGCGGCACTCGTAGTAGCGGCGGCAGTGCTTCTCGTCCTGCAGATAGCTGCCGTCAGCTCTTCCGCTGCACTCGGCGTCTCCAGTTGTGGTGACGCTGGAGCCGGAGAAGAGATCCAACAGAGGCTTGGGAATGAGCTTCTCGATCAGGCTGGCAGGTGTTATGGGAGACGTTTCACAGGGTGTTGTTGTTGTTGTGGAACATGTTGTTGTTGTTGTAGTACACGGTGGTGTTGTTGTACACGGTGGTGGCGGAGGTGTTCTTGTACAAGGTGGTGGAGTCGTTGTAGTTGTGGTACAGGGCGGAGGTGTTGGCGTACACGGTGGTGGAGTTGTTCGTGTACACGGTGGAGGCGTTGTTGTTGTGGTGCATGGTGGCTCTGGTGTTGGTGTGCACGGTGGCGGAGGTTTTGGGGTACAAGGTGGTGGAGTCGTTGTTGTTGTTGTGGTACATGGTGGCTCAGGCGTTGGTGTACACGGTGGTGGAGGTGGTGGTGGCGGAGGTGTTGGAGTACAAGGTGGTGGAGTCGTTGTTGTTGTGGTACATGGTGGCTCAGGTGTTGGTGTACACGGTGGCGGAGGTGTTGGAGTACAAGGTGGTGGAGTCGTTGTTGTTGTTGTGGTACATGGTGGCTCAGGCGTTGGTGTACAAGGTGGTGGAGTCGTTGTTGTTGTGGTACATGGTGGCTCAGGCGTTGGTGTACAAGGTGGTGGAGTCGTTGTTGTTGTTGTGGTACATGGTGGCTGAGGCGTTGGTGTACAAGGTGGTGGAGTCGTTGTTGTTGTTGTGGTACA